TGAGTTTGCAAATACTTTACTGCAGTCATTTTTTTGTTAGCTAATTTGTTTTTCCTATCTAGGTTAGATTGTGTGTATAGGTTTATTTTTAACCTGTCCATTCCCATTGGCATTTTCTGTATTCAGGTGCTTTACATAAAATGTTGCTCACTTAGTTTAGAAATGTCCTTTTGTTTTAATAATTTTGGATTGATATGTTTGCAGTATATATATCTTTTATTATTCCTCTTTATTAAATACATCACGTTCATTACGTCAATATGATATTTTAATGTTTTTAAATAAGCTGATCTTGCTCACCAAGGCTGCATTTATTGAATCAAAAATGCAGTACAAATTGTGAAATGTTATTGCACCATAAAATAAATGTTCAATAGTAGTTTATAATTTAATTTAATTATTTTATTCCAGTGAATTTAAAGATGAATTTTCAGCTTCATTACTCCAGTTTTATTAAGGCCAAACTCACATCCAATAATCTTTCACAGACTGATTGAGAAATGTCTAATATACAATGAATCAAAAATTAAGCCTTAAATTGATAATAATAATAATAATAATAATAATAATAATAATAATAATAATAATAATAATAATAATAATAATAATAATAATAATAATAATAATAATAAATAAATAATCCACATACAATTTCTCTTAATAATATAGACACAGGTGACGTGGTGGTGCAGTGGGTAGCACGATCGCCTCACAGCAAAAAGGTAGCTGATTCGAGCCTCGGCTAGGTCAGTTGACATTTCTGTGTGAAGTTTGCATATTCGCCCCATGTTGGTGTAGGTTTTCTCCAGGTGCTCCAGTTTCCCCCACAAATCCAAAGACTTGCGGTACAGGTGAATTGGGTAAGCTAAATTATCTGTATTGTATGTGTGTAAATGAGTGTGTATGGATGTTTCCCAGTGATGGGTTGCAGCTGGAAGGGCATCTGCTGCGTAAAACATAAGTTGGAGTTTCATTTCGCTGTGGCGACCCCAGATTAATAAAAAGGACTAAGCTGAAATAAAAGAATGAATGAATGAATATAGACACATTGCTTTTGTGTTTTACACTGAAGAACTTTTATTATTATTATTATTATTATTATTATTATTATTATTATTATTATTATTATTATTAAACCAAATGTTATTTATTGTAAGGTTTTATAACTGCCCATATAAATAAACTAAAGTAAACCCTTTTAGGCATCTTCATTGAACTTGAACTGAATTTACATAAAATTCCAACGTCTAACAAGAAAGATGTGACAACTTTTGGAATTGTACTTTGTTTAATAGCCATTATTGATATTTAAATTTTTATTTATTTATTTATTTATTTATTTATTTATTTATTTATTTATTTATTTATTTATTTATTTATTTATTTATTTATTTATTTATTCATTTATTTATTTATTTATTTTTATTTCATGTGTTTTCTCGTTTCCACCTTCTCTTTCCTCACATACGGTTTTTATTCTCTTTTTGAATTAAATAGACATATTTTTCTGTTGTTATTGTAATACTACGAATACATTTTTATTGACTACAACATTAAATCTGGCAACGCAATTTGATCTGCCATGACGAGAGCCACTAAGTTTCCGTCTTATGGCTCCGCTTTTAACTCCACCTCCAACTGCACTCGGCTAATCTCGTTGACCACCGTTTGGAGCCGTGGTTCAAGTTAAACGCATATATTATGCAACTGATGCTGTACAGTCACATGACAGTATGACGAATGTACTGCAGTAGACCCTGCATACATTCACACATATTCACAACATTAAAATGAATTCATATTCATATTTTCAATTTCATATTTTATTAACTATTATTTTAAAAAGTAGGCTACTGAAAAAAAAAAATTAGTATCAGACTGCTAATGACTCGTTTAACTTGTCTGGTAACAGTAAATTCGTTCGTGTTTTGCACAATTTGATTGACAAAATGATTCAGTCCCACACTCAAAAGGAGTGTTAGGTGTTAAGTTTCTAAAATGGTCAGAGCATTTGAATGCATTGGAATTACATGCTCAACTAATTTCATAACGAATTAGCATATTGAATTAATCAATTACTGAACTGAATAACTTCACTTCACTGAAAAAAATATATTCATTGGACTTTTATAGCCTATTGTTTTTTAAGATAACTGTTTGGAAACAATTTATATGGGCTGAATTTAAACAAACAAATTTGTTTAAAAAACTATTTGTTTAAATTCAGTCCATATAAATTGTTTCCTTAAATTTATTTATTATTTTTTAGTATTCTATATAGCTAGCTATAGTGGCATATTATATGACATATTTCCATTATATTATTCCTATACACATGCAGATTTAGTAAAGAGAAGAGGCTGACAAAGAAAATGGATACTTTTATGGATACATCAACATGACAATATTTTAAAAATATATTATGCATACTAGGCCAGAAGATGACAATATCACATTACAGTCCTGTGCTGTCATAGATATTTTGGTTGTCAAGTTCTCCCATGCCTAAATTTAGCATGCAATATGCATGTGCATGACATCATTGTTTTGTAGATTGCACAAAAACAAACATTTCAAAATGTGATAGACAACAGTGCTCAGGATAATTGAGTACACGTTTAGAAAACGAATATTTTTATCAACGAATATAGGCAATGTATTTAGAGTATTTCAACAAAAGAGATTTATAAACGTCTATAATTCTTTAAATAATTATATACCCACCAAACATATTTAGAAATTAAAAAGATAATACAAGTAAATTCAAGCAAAATATTGCAAAACAAATTACAACCTACAAAAAAAAATTACTTGTTTTTTTTTTTTTTTTGCTTCTCCTGATTTTTCCCCTTTTTTAAAAAAAAATTGTTTATCATTTTTTTTTCTATGACATATAAATTTGGTTTTACTAGTTTTTGGACTGTTATCATAGGTTATTACAATTAATTTATATTGTTAGACAAGCTCCAGATTTGGCTTCAGTACTGACTAATCTAATGTATATGCACAAATATAATAATATAGCTTCCTAATAAAAATATGAATTTAAAAGATAGATTTGTGAGGGGTGTACTATATATATATATATATATATATATATATATATATACATACAGTACACCCCTATATATATATAGATAGATAGATAGATAGATAGATAGATAGATAGATAGATAGATAGATAGATAGATAGATAGATAGATAGATAGATAGATAGATAGATAGATAGATAGATAGATAGATAGATAGATAGATAGATAGATAGATAGATAGATAGATAGATAGATAGATAGATAGATAGATGACAGAGAGAAAGAGGCCCAATTCTTAGGGGCATATTTCCAATCCTACACATAAACACTCTGTTTCAAGGGGGAAGGGGTAGGGGTTGGCAGCCGCAGAGGTGAAAGTGTATAAAATAGAAATGGGAGTGGGCCAGAGAGAGAGAAAGAGAAATGACATTCACATCTTTCCTAAATATGTTTTATTGGAAAAATACGCATAACCTGCAGAAAAGTAATATGCAGTTTATTTTGATGTTGGTAGATGTTGATTTTTTTTATTCAATTTCAACTTTAGACTTCAAATTGTGTTAATTTGGAGTGATTCCTACAGCGAGAACAAAAAGTAAACTCAGTGAATCTGACTGTCAGTTCAGCGTTTTATAGATTTGGCAACCCAGTGCACATCCAGTGGGTCCAGTGGAGATTGGCTTTTGTTCAGTTGGATGTTTGTTTTATACCACAAGCCCATGAACATGTATTGAAAGGTAAATTTCCATGACATTAACCAATCATGCTTTTTTAAGAGCTAACACTGAAAATATGCACATTACTATATGTTTAAGTTCAATATTATTATCTAATCATATCTCTCATGCATACAGTTGAAGTCAGAATTATTAGCCCCCCTTTGAATTTTTTTCTTTTTTATTTCTCAAATTGTGTTTACCAGGGCAAGGAAATTTTCACAGTATGTCTGATAATATTTTTTCTTCTGGAGAAAGTCTTATTTGTTTTATTTCGGCTAGAATAAAAACAGTTATTAATTTTTTAAACACCATTTTAAGGACAAAATTAGCCCCTTTAAGTTTTTTGATAGTCTACAGAACAAACTATCGTTATACAATTACTTGCCTGGGGGTTAATAATTCTGACTTTAACTGTACATACAGTAATAGCTGAACTAAGTGCATAATTATAGAAAAAAAATTATAGTGACAAATTTTGAAATGCGCAGGGAGACTCTGGTAAAGCTACCGTTTACAAAAAAACAAGCCAAAATATCCTAAAATGTATTAGGGTTTACAAAAATAAATTAATGAATAAATAACAGTGCATGGTCATATGATACATGGGACATCAAAGCTGTGAATAAACAGTGTTATTAAGGTCATTTCATCTAATAAAACTTAAAACAGTTCAATTTTATTGTGAAACCACACATTCCTTTACTTTTAGAGGAACATTCATTCCCCTTTAAGGCAGTCACGGCATAACCATGTCCAGGTGAGTTTGCTTTTTTATTTATATAACAAGACACTTTTTCACAGTGAACCGTGTTAGCTGTCAAAATTTATACTGGTTCAGCAAGTAGCCACCCTCTTTGAAGGAAAATAGTATGTTCAGCCTTTACTCAAGGAAAATAGAAAGATTCTGCCCTCTAGTGGTTCATACAACATTATCAGTAACTGTAAATATAAATGACGTTTTTGGGTTTATTTTCATCAATTTAGTTAAATGTGGTTGAATAATTTTTTTTTTTCAACTGATCCAAAACCTCCACATAATAATGGTAATTTATAGCTGTAAAACATAATCCAAAATTCTACTATAAGCAATACAGTTGACCATAACTAAGTATTTTGTCAGTCATACATATAGTCTATTACAGGATTTTCTATGGCCAATCACTTCTCTTCTCTATCAGCTTGCATGTCTCTATCAGCCTTTCTCTCTATCTCTTTCCGTGCCTGGAGAGCATTTTCCATCGATCAATGTCAATCTTTTTTTATTTATTTTTATTTTCCCTTTTTGCTTCATCCAAGCTAGATTAGCGAGCACAACACTTCATAATTATATTAATTTTAGGTTCCACATATTTTTATATACATAGATATATTTGTATTGCGTTCTACTGATGTCTGTCATATCGACTTTTTTAAGCCCATTGCACTGCTTTTGTAATGACGTTGTTGTGAACGAAACATGACGATTTGACGTAATGTAACATTGCTACACCAAACCATTCAGATTTTTATCACTGTACGTTTGGCATGAAACGATAAAGTAAAAAGGAAGAGTTACAATGAAAGGATGCAGAGGGGGAGAGGATGCAGTTATCACTGAAGTTTTCCCTGCCTGCTGGTGAGCGCGCGAGGAGCAGAGCACGCGCCCACGCAACACTTTAACGCACTGCAAAGCTTTTTAATGTGACGCATCCTCAGACAAGAGACGATTTTTTTACTTCCTCTTTAATATTAGTTGAAACGAAAACATTTTTTAGGAAGAGCACGGACATGGAATAGACATCACGCTTATGTGGAGTATATTTTGATGGCATTTGTGCACGAGCGGTAAGTGTTATTTTTGTTGTTCAAACTTAAGATTCGACTTTTAGTGCCTTTCTTAATTATTTAAATTTTATTTGATCATATAATATAGTGTTGGGTCGACATTTAGTTCTTTAAATCAATAAAGTAAAGTCGATGTTTGGTAACAGGTGAATAAAAAAAAAGCATTTCACAATGTATTTTTGATATGCTTTTAGGGTGTTTGTTTGTGCACGAAATATTGCAGTGTTATAACTGGTTAAAAGTCGTTTCCGAGTTGACCTGAACCAGGTCAAGGTGAAGGGCATTCTCATTAGGCCTCATTCACGTCATATCTAATAGCAGCAGCAAAACAAGTTTAGATAGTGCAGCTAATGTAGTTTGTATTTTTTCCTTTGGATCTCTCTTATATCGATCTCCTGATAGTGGTTGTATATTTGCATTTAATAAAATATATAAATAAATAAATAAAATAAAATAAAAAAGAATAAAAAAATGACCTCTCTGGACAGAAATAAAAAAAGAGTTTAGATAGCGTGTAATAACTTTATAAATTATTTAAACATATTGTAGAAAATATTTGTGATGTTTGGTTGCTTGCTGTAAAATGAGTTTTAATCCATGAACATCAACAACTGACTAAATAAAAAGACAAACAATGGATATTGGAGACTGGCATGCATGCAAATATGATATATTCAATAATGCAATAATAAATTCTGATACTTATCTATTAATGCATTAAAAAGCTAAAGCTGTACTTTTTTACAATATTAGTTAACACAAACTAACAATTGAGCATTATCTACCACAAAGAAAGATAAATATAATAAATGCTCTCTTTATATTGGTAATTGTTATTATTAGTCAACAAATGAAACTGAATTGTGAAGTAAAGCAAATATAACTATATCTGATGAATGTAAAATCTAGATCTGTACACTGAAACAGTTTTGGTTCTAAAAAAATAGAAAGGCTAAGTTACAATGTTCATTCATTCATTCATTTTCTTTTCAGCTTAGTCCCTTTAAGTTGCAAGGTTGCAAAAAATATATATATATACAAGTACATTTTTTTTTACTAATTATTCGAACACTATTTGGGTATACCACAGGATTGAACATGAACAGTAGAAACACATAATTAAACTATGTTTTTTGTTAAATACATAATTGAAAAATCACATTTAAATTGTGGATGATACCGTACTCTTTATCATGTTTTTGTTGTGTTTTTCTTAATGAATTTTACAAAGAACAAACTTTAAAAAATATCAAATATTTAAATATAAATCCCTGCATGAACATATTAGTAAATAACCCAAAATCATGCTATTTCAACCTTTTTTTTAATTTAAGATCAATATAATTGTCCTTCCTCAGTGCTGCTGCAAAGAGGATTTTCATTTCATTTCTCTTTGCTTCATCTGCTACTGTTTACAATATTATCAGTTTGTAACTGAGTGAGATTATCTTCAAGGTCATTAGTATTACGAATCAGTGCTTTCTTTCTTTTTTGGACTTCTCTCAGGAGAGTGAAGAGTAGTTTTTCCTTTTAAAAATGATGATATAGCAACATCACAATTTCTTCGGGAGAATTGATGTTGAGGATATGTTGCGATATGTGAAAATGAACACTTAAAGCTAAACGCTTTCAGACTTAAGGATTAGCTCTTCATCTCCCATCCTCCTCCTTAGTATGATAGGATGGAGACAGAATCTGAAACTGATAGCGTGAGAGAGTGATCTGCTTTTTCCCGTGTAATCTATTCAAAATGATTATTTTTTAGCGGATAGTTATTACTGCATTAATTTAGCTTTTGATGCTTGATCTTTGATCACGTTTTTGATATAGTGTCAATGAACTATTTTATTATTATTATTGGTGAAAGCAAGAGAAATCCTGATAGAAATAGATAAAGGAAATAAGAATTAGATGAAAAGATTTATGCGTTATTTCAGACTAACGATTAATCTCTAAGAATGCAAGAGGCAGAGCTGTAGGAGGTAACAGAGAAAATTAAAGCAGATATTTTTGAGATGAAGAACATTGAGAAAAAGTATTTCCATCAAAACTTGCTTGAGGAAAGAACATAAGATAGATGTGTTGATAGGGCATGATTTTATTCATTAGAAAAATAAAAAATAAATTACCTGCAATCAGATTTATAAGCAAGCAATGATTATATGCTACAACAGTTTGATACGGTCCTTGACATTCACTCTGCTTGTCTGTGTTTGACCAGTCTAGAGAGTAGTGCTGCATGATATTGGAAAAATCTGACACTGCGATATTTTGCTTTTCTGCGATATACACTTACCGGCCACTTTATTAAGTACACCTGCTCAACTGATCGTTAAAGAAAATTTCTAATCAGCCAATCACGTGGCAGCGACTCAATGCATTTAGGCATGTAGACATGGTCAGGACAATATGCTGCAGTTCAAACCGAGCATCAGAATGGGGAAGAAAGGTGATTTAGGTGACTTTGAACGTGGCATGGTTCTTGGTGCCAGATGGGCTGTTTTTTTAGAAAGGTATTTCAGAAACTGCTAATCCACTGGGATTTTTCTGCTCAACCATCTCTAGGTTTTACAGAAAATGATACAAAAAGTGAAAAATATCCAGTGAGCAGCAATTCTGTGGGCGCAAATGCCTTGTTGATGCCAGAGGTCAGAGGAGAATAACCAGACTGGTTTGAGCTGATAGAGAGGCAACAGTCACTCAAATAACCACTCATTACAACCAAGGTGTGCCGAAGAGCATCTCTTAAAGCGCAACATGTTAAACCTTGAGCCGGATAGGCTACAGTAGCAGAAGACCACACCAGCTGAGGCTACAAATCGCACAGGCTTACCAAAATTGGACAATAGAAGACTGAACAATGTTGCTTGGTCTGATGAGTCTCGATTTCTTTTTCGACATTCAGATGGTAGGATCAGAATTTGGCATCAACAACATGAAAGCATGGATACATTTTGCCTTGTATCAACAGTTCAGGCTAATGGTGGTTGTGTAATGGTGTGGGAAATATTTTCTTGGCATACTCTGGGTCCATTAGTACCAACTGAGCATCTTGTCAACACCACAACCGACCTAAGAATTTTTGCTGACCATGTCCATCCGTTTTAGGTCCACAGTGTACGCATCTTCTGATGGCTACTTCCAGCAGGATAACGCGCCATGTCATGAAGAGCAAATGATCTCAGACTAGTTTTTTTGACAATGAGTTCACTGTACTCAAATGGCCTCCACAGTCATCAGATCTCAGTCCAATAGAGCACCTTTGGGATGGGGTGGAAAGGGAAATTTACATCTTGGATGTGCAGCCGACAAAATTGTAGCAACTGCGTTATGCTATCATGTCATTATGGACCAAAATCTCTGAGGAATATTTCCAGTACCTTGTTGAATCTATGCCACAAAGGATTAAGGCAGTTCTGAAGGCAAAAGGGGGTCAAACCTGGTACTAGTAAATATACTAGTGTGTATATTGTGATATACAATGTTATACTTGGAAAGACTTTTTGGTTACATTTTATTTTAAGGTTCAGTTCTCGCTCTTAGCAAACCATTTTGACTTTTGCTTCAATAAACTCCTAATAGTTATTGAGGTAGTTTAGGTATTAGGTTGGATTATGGATGTAGAATAAGATCACAGAATGTGCTTTTTAAGGACTAATTAGCAGCCAATATCTCAATAATATGCATGCTAATAAGCAATATACAGCAATGCACAAATATCTTTACATGTGAAAAAAAATTATTTACTATTATTATTATTTACTACATAGATTAAAAAAAAAATCTCCATGTCTTCTTCATGTTTGGGGGGCTTTTTTGAGTTTATTCGTGTAACATTTATTTTTATTGTTATTTAATTATTAGCAGCATTATTTATTATATGCATATTTACATTTATTTTAATAAAAATAAGTTTAGGTTTATCCACCTGTTGGGTTTAAGAGACGTATGTGTCCCTATATAGGGCATAGGAATAGGACGTGTGTTTGGATATAACTTTTTGACCACACTTTGTTATTATTGTTCATTTATTTGTTTGCTGGGAATTAGAACTGAATTTAGAAATATTTTTGAAACAAATCTTTGTGCTTAACAAACAAAATTAAATATGTAGGCTAATGCATGTTTTCGGTGGAGACCATTTCCTTATTACTTTAAAAGAGTTAAGTAAAAAGTAAAAGTAAAGTAAAGAGGCTGAATGAAGAAGGCTCATTCTTTATCCTCACGCTGATTGTCTGTTCAACTGTTTTCTTGCTAGTGAAACATTCAGTTTTTTCCACTCAAGTGCACCATGTAAATAGCAAATGTGCCATGGCGCGACGCAACTGACTCTTAAAGGCAATATGAGATGAGACTCTTGGTTTAAAGCATGTTAAGCTCAAAACACACTCATAACTCATTAATAAGCACAACTCTGTTAGACCATGTGCCGAGGTGCAAACTGTATTTTTCCATCCTTAAAATAGCAGAAGTGGATTCGGACACACCCTTAATGCTTTGCACCATGCGCTTTAGACTTTATGCATAGATTGTTAAAATAGAGCCTTTATAGTTATCTCATTCTTTGTGGAAAGATAACTTTAAACATAGTTGGCAATAGATCTGTGCAGTCCAATTAATAGAAATCTAGTTGTAATCATGATTTGAAATGTTTTGATTAGAAAACTGTAAAAGACTAGAATATGAATGTGGTATACTGTTAAAAAAACAAAAACAAAATAAAAAACACCCTCCTCCTTAATGTAGTGGTTAAACCTTATTTTGATGGATCGTTTGTTGTATATAAGTTTCATTGCATCTACATCTCAACTAATTCTCATTAGATTACAAGTAGACTGTTGGGGATAGGGTTAGTGTAAGTTGACATGTACTTAGTTGACATACTTACAAAGTTTCTTTTATTAATTTGTGTTTTCCATACTGTCCCAACCTTTTCTGATTTGGGGTTGTATAATGACTACACATACTGTATATAGATTATATTTAAATAGAAAATTTAT